TGTTACAGCATCCACAAGATGGCTTACAATCATCTTTAACTCCAGTTCAGAGGATCTGATGCTCCCTTCTGGCCTCTTTGGGTACTGCATACATGCGATGCATAAACATACATACAGGCAAAGTAACCATACACATACAGATAAATAAATAAATAAATAAGTTAAAAATAGTTATTAATTCCACTCCCCTCCAGGATCTCATGTAACCCAGGCTGGCCTTAAACTCATTATGTAGCTGAAGTTGGCCTTGAACTTCTGGTTCCCCTGCCTCTGCCTCTGTAGTGCTGAGATTTTTAAGTGTGAATCACCATGCCTGATTTATGGAGTGTTAAGGATCGAAGCGACAGCTGCTTTGTGTGTGCCAGGCAAGCACCCTACCAACTGAATTACATCTCAGCACTTTTATTTTTTTCATTTCTTTTTGGAAATAGGGTTTTACCTTATAGCCCACACTGGCCAAACTCAAGGTACCTCCTGAATGCTGGGATTACAGGCGTGTGCCAGTCATATCCAGTGCATTTGGTGCTGGGGATGGAAGCCAGGGCTTTGTACATGTATGTACATACCCTGATAACTGAGACATATCCTCAGCCCCTTGGAGAAGTTTTTTTCTCCAAACTGAATCAGACAGTATATAATATTTTTGTGGGATCTGGTTTTTTTTTTCTTCATGCTTGTGAGACTTTCCCACATTGTAGCATTTAGCAGTACTTCACTAATTCACACTGTTGTGTGAATACACACACACACACACACACACACACACACACACACACACACATATATATATATATATATATATATATATATATTCTTTGGGTCTGTCCATTCTCTTCTTGATGGTTCCAAGTTTTAGTTGTTTCTATTAGTTTAGTTGTTGGTAAATGGACCATTCTGGAGAACAGTTGCACATGTTTCTCACAGTGTGTTCATAGAAATGGTTCCACAGGACTCAGAGTGATTTTTCCTGGTGTGTATCTCCCCTGGCAGTGTCTGGTTGCTTTGCACACTTGCCAACATCAGAGTCGATTAGGCCTGTTTTCCATTGAAGTTAGTTTGAAGCTCAGACAAGCCGTCTTGTGCTCAGCAAAGGGCAATGTGTTCTAAGTGACAGAACTGGAATTTGAATCCAGGTTCTTTCCCCCACCAAATTTATTTTCATGTGTATGAGTGTTTTGCCTGCCTGTTATGGCTGTGCACCACATTTGTGCAGTACCCATAGAGACCAGAAGAGGGCGTCAGTTCTCCAGAAACCACTGTTACAGATGGCTGTGAGCCACCATGTGGGTGCTGGAAATTGGACCTAGGTCCTCTGTAAAGCAGCCAGTGCTCTTAACCACTGAGCCATCTCTCCAGTCCCTTTGCTTTTCTTTTTGAGACAGGAATAGATTATGAACTAGAATGAGAAAATTCTGACCTAAGCCTATTAGGATCTTTCTAGAGTTTGAAGAAGGAAAAAACAGAGTCATGGAGCCTCACAAAGAGGATGATATTTGGGCGCCTAGACCCTGAGGGAATGGAGAGCTATCAGGCAGGCTTTGATGGAAAGAGCACTCCTGGAGGTGTGATATGGCAGGGTGAACCAAGAGGACAGGTCCATTGTGGCTGTAATACAGGACATGTGGACTAGGACAGCCACCCGTGCCTGCCACTCCATCCAGGTTCATTTTTCTGGGGGGAGTTGGGGCTTCTCTGAATCCAGCTCAGCTCCTGATGGCAAATGGAGCCGGCCTCTCACCAAAGCGAAGCTCTTAGCTGTTCTGGGACCACACTTCATGTTCCTGCCAACAGAATTTTGAGGGGTTTTCTGTGTTCTCTATCTGTGTGGGATTGATGTCCTCCCCTGAGAGCTGGATGAAGGGTTTATTTGGAAGGAGTGTTGTTTCCAGGAGTCTTGCAGGGATAGTGAGAGTGGAGACAGGTTCAGTTTCTGATTCTGTTGAGTCAAACTTGCTAAGGGGACCGCCCAAAACCTTTTCCTGAGAAGGGAGTTGAACTGATTGACTTCATGCCATGCGAAACAGAAACACAGGGGCCTGGGGTAAGTTGTGACAGTGAAACCATCCTTATGTGTATGGTGTCTTGCATCTTTTTTTGCAGTGGATTCCCACACGGGTATATGAAGTAGACGCTAGGGTTAATGGGGTGTCTCCATTTATAGATGAGGGACTGAGGATGAGAAAGGGTGCCAGCCTGCTATGGGTGACAGGGGTAATCCATGCCAACCTAGTCCTGTGCCTAGGCTTGCTCTTTTTAGTATCTGTGCACTCAAGCCCACTCTGGCTGCACAGTGGACATGGAGGAGGAGGATACATGAAGGGTCATGGGTGTCCATAAGCAGGTGGCCCCGAAAGTGAGACCTTGAGAGCCTGTTCTGTCTAGGGGTCTGAGGGATCTGTGTGCTTTGACAGAAAGGATGAAGGAGAGGGCATTTTGGTAACAGGGCTGTGGTTTGTGAGAAGGAGAAATGTGTACATCCCCTGAGATCCAGAACAGTCCCAGTCTCTTGATGTTAGTGAGACCTGTCCTATGTGACTATGTGATGGTCCCTCTACTCAGCCTAGAGAGGACAGTCTTTCAGGGTCATGGCCTGAGTATAGTTGGCGTTTGATTGGCAGGTGGGAGGAAAACTGCCCATGCTAGCCAAAATGGGCCAAGGGGCCTTTGCTAAGGACCCTTGAATGATTCCATAGGTTATATCATTGTAATGGAGCTCTGCCCTCAGGGTGCTGTCTTTAGGTGAGCTCTTTGGGTAAGGGGATTGCAAGGGAAGGTGCAAGCCCCACAGTGAGGGCTCCCTGAGGCTCAAACTGCTCTGTATCTTTTGCTAAGGTGTCCTGTGCAGGCAGAGGTGGCTGTGTTCCATAGATGAAGAAACTGGGTTTCTCTGCCAAGTGGTGAGGTCACAGAACTAGATGTGGGGAGTACTGGAACCAGCACCTCAGGCTCCTGACTCCTGGTACTGTTTTAGTTTGTCACATCCTCCCCACCCATGTTCCCTGTGAGGTGATGAGTGAGCCTTTACCAATCCGTTCAGACTCGCCATTGGGTGGCACAGCCCCCAAGGGAGCTGAGGTCACTATAATCCTTTGTCTTTCCACAGCACTTAATCGTTCACAAAACAATTTCATGACTTGAAATTGATTTTTATGGTATTAGTCCTATTTTACAGACAGGGAAAGCTATATGTCTGGTAACTTAAATGATTTACCAAGGTAAAACTGGGTCTTACATGCTGGGCAAATATTCTGCCTCTGAGCTGCATCCCTACATTTTGGCTTTTAAAAGTATTATTTTATGTGTAGGGGTGTTCTGCTTGCATGCTTATCTGCATATCACATGTGTAAATGGTTTTTTTTGGGGGGGCTGCCAGCTCACAAAAAAAAGACATGGAGATTTATTATTAATTGTGGAAGCTTGGCCTTAGCTTAGGCTTCTTCTTAACTAGTTCTTATAACTTAAATTTCTCCATCTGCTGGTGACTCTGCCTTTCTTCCTCCAAGAGCTCTCTCTGTCCAGAAGTCCAGCCTATACCTCCTGCCTAGCTATTGGCTGCTTAGCTTTTTATTAAACCTATCACAGTGACACATCTTCACACAGTGCAAAGAAATATTCCACAACACACATGTGCATAGTGCTAACTGAGGTCAGAAGAGGGTGTCAGAATTGGAGTTACATATGATTGTGAGCCATTGTGTGAATGCTGGGAATGGAACCTGGGTCCTCTGGAAGGGCAGCAAGTGCTCTTAACCACTCTTCCAGCCCAGCTCTTGGCTTTTTGAGACAGGGTTTCACTGTTGAGTCTAGGCTGGGCTTGAGTACTCTATCCTCCTGCCTCTCAGTGCTGGGGCCATAGATTCCTGGCTCCAGAAACCGCTTTTCTCAGTAGAACAAGTAGCTGAAGTTCCCATAGTTCTGTTTCTTGGTGAACTTCTTCAGACAGATCTGAACAAGCAGTAAGGACTCTTTTTTTCTGTTTCCCTAACAAATTGGAGACAGATATGGTGGTACATGTCTGTAATCTCAGCTCTGGGGAGGCTGAGGCAGGAGAATAACTGCAAATTTGAGGCCAGCCAAGAACCTCTAGACCAACATAGGTCCACAGCAAGACCCTGTCTCAAAGAACAAAAGACAGGAAAAGGGAGAGAGAGAGAGAGAGAGAGAGAGAGAGAGAGAGAGAGAGAGAGAGAGAGAGAAAGAGAGAGAAATCAAATCATAGGTTTGGGGAGATGGCTCTTCCAGAGGACCCCAGTTCCCAGAACACATGGAGGGGCTCACAACTGCGTGTAACTCCAGCTCCAGGGCATGTGATGCCCTCTCCTGGCCTGCTGGGAACTTGCACTTGTATGCACATACCCACATGTAGACACATACATGTAAATAAAAATAAAATTAATTTTAAGAGAGGAATAAAAACTATGTCTTAGAGTTACTATTGCTGTAATGAAACACCATGACAAAAGCAATTTAGGGAGGAAAGGTTTTATTTGGCTTACTCTTCTATATCCCTGTTTATCACTGAAGGGAGTCAGGGCAGGAACTCAAACAGGGCAGGAACCTGGGTGGCGGGAGCTGATGCAGAAGCCATGGAGGGGTGCTTCTTACTGGCTTGCTCATCATGGCCTGCTCAGCCTGCTTTCTTATTGAACCCAGGACCACCAGCCCAGGAATGGAAACACCTACAATGGGCTGAGCCCTCCCACATCAATCACTAATTACAAAAAAATGTCTTACAGCCACATCTTATGGAGGCATTTTCTCAGTTGAGGTTCCCTCCTCTCAGATGTCTCTAGCTTGTGTCATTGACATAAAAGTAGCCAGGACACTACACATCATCAGCCACAGGTGAGCCACTCACACAGACCTGTCCTTAAGGAATCAAGACTGTGGGTAACTTAAAACTCTTTTCTCCCTTGCAGTCGGTTGTTTTGCAGACTCTTACACTTGTGTTAATTTGCATGGCTGAACTAAATTTAGGTTTCTTTCCATTTCAGGATTGTATGGTCCAGGCCTCGATGAGGAGCCCAAACATGGAGACGTTCAAGCAGCAGAAGGTGGAGGATTTTTATGACATTGGAGAGGAGCTGGGGAGGTAAGAAATTGCGTGAGCTGTGGAGTGGTGTACGATGGACCTGCTCACTCTTCTGTTGGCTGGTTGAGGTTGTAAAGCTGGGCTTGTCCCAGGCGGTTGGGAAGCTTTCAAAACAGGCCCGAGTCATCCTCATGGATGACTCTGCAGATCTTGTCTCTCTCTTGAACTAATGTCACCACGGTAGAAGAGGTGCACAGCTGGGGTCTGTGTTTTCCATATACTCTGACAGCTATGGGAAATCTTCATGAAATCTGTCACTTTTTTTCCCCATAAAGCCTTCTCTCCAGGTTGTCTGGACATCTGACCTGTTGGTTTTTGTTCTTGGTGTCCCATTGGGATTCTCTGTGGTTCCCTAGGATTTTTCTTTTTTAAGCTGAAGCCTAAATAGGAGGTGAAGTAATCCTCCTGAAAAGGGATTTGTATTGAGTAACAGCCTTACCAGCCTCCCCAGGAAGTTTCTGGGATCTGAGTTGTCCTGTTTGCTCAGCTCAGAGCAGGGCTCTGCTAAGCTTTCTCATCTCAAAGTCACGATTTTGTGAGGGGAGAAACGAGATTTTTCTGAAGCTGCCTGCCCTGACTTCCAGTTCTAAAATGATTCATATTTAGTGGTTACAAAATATCAGTCCCCAAATCCTGGTCTCCAAACCATGCAGGGGATAGTAATTCCTTTCACTGTGGTTCTACAGGCAGGAGACTCTGGGGCAGGATTTAAGAGTTTCCCAAAGTTGCTGAGGACAGCAAGCAACGAAGCCAACAGCCAACGTTCTGAGCTGCTTGCTCAGTTTGTCAGGCACACTTGTCTAGCTCCCTCCCGTGAGCAAGGCACTTGCACACCCAAATGTGTTCCCCAAGGCACTCCACCTCAGCAGAGCAAAACCACAGGCTATTTAAGATGCCCATGGAACCAGACAGGTAAAACAGGAAGCCTTTCCCCTTCTCTAGAACTGTTGAATTAGCACTAATTCCCATAGCCTTTGTTTTAAAGGCAAACACAACAAAGCCAGGGAGCCTTCTAAGATGAGAGGGAGCTGGGAGGGGGTGGGGCATGGGTCAGGGGGTAACCGACCTGGCAGGCTGGTTGGGTAGGGAGTGATTGTCTGTCTGCAGACTTCAAGGACTCATCAGCCTTCTGTCACTCATCTTGAGCCTAGAAAAGGGATTTAAGAAGGATAGAGGGCAGAGGCTTTGGGTCTTCCGCTGGAGCCTGCCTCTGGATGGAAAATCAGGGTCTCTTTGCTGCAGGTCCTTGTGCCCTTTGAGCTCCACTCACAACCTGGGAAGCAGTATCTGCTGGCAGGGAACCGCTAGAGGTGTTTGAGTTGTTGTCCTTGCCTTAGTCTGTGTTCTGTGCCATGGGTACAATGATGAGCAAGGTAATATGTGTCCCTAGAACTCCAGCCTGGCTAGAGGCATGCTTGATAGTAAGGTCAGGGTGAGGACTGGACTAGTGTCTGAGGGGCAGAGAAACCAAGAAGTTGGCTGGGCAAGGGACCTGGAGAAGAATGCAGAGGTTGTTCCTGGGGAATTTTTGTGTCATTCCCTCCTTGCCTTGCCTCTACACCACTTTGGACGGACATGAGCTGTTAGAAACTGGAGACAACCGTGTTTGCAGGCCCTTTCTTGCTGCAAGTGTAAAAGCTTCCTGTCCCTCAGCCTGGGATCCTCCCTCCCCAAAGTGCTGGCTAGAAAAAAGGTTGATAAGAGTCCTCAGATACCTGGGACCCATGGAGTGCTCAAACATTCTCAGACTTGGCTGGAGCTCAGGTGAGCTAGGAGGTCAGTAAAAGTCCTTCCTTCCAGGATCCCCATTTGACAGTTGAACCTGAGGTTCAAGGTGGAGATGGGTCCTGCAGGGGGCCCTAGAGTGGGCTGGGATTAGAGCTGCTTTCAGGTAACTGCACAGTCTCTTTGTGGTTGGGAGGTGCTGGGAGACCCAGCCCAGGGTGCTCTAGCTACTGATTGACGGTCACTCTTAGCCTACAACCACTCAGCTTGTAAAAAGGCTAGTCCTACTCTTGCCACCCGATTCTGTTCACTTAACATATTGAGGACCTACTGTGTGCCAGGCCTTGCCTAAAACAGTGGAAAGTAAAACATGTGTCCTTTCTTCTTGAAGTCTATAATTTATCCTTGTAGAGAGGCACTAAACAAGTGGATTATAGAGGGTGAGTCATGATCAGGTCAGATATGAAGGGAAAGGACAGAGTGCTCTGAGGGAGGATCATGGGAGACCTTCTTCTTCTTCTTCTTCTTCTTCTTCTTCTTCTTCTTCTTCTTCTTCTTCTTCTTCTTCTTCTTCTTCTTCTTCTTCTTCTCCTTCTCCTTCTCCTTCTCCTTCTCCTTCTCCTTCTCCTTCTCCTTCTCCTTCTCCTTCTCCTTCTCCTTCTCCTTCTCCTTCTCCTTCTCCTTCTCCTTCTCCTTCTCCTTCTCCTTCTCCTTCTTCTTCTCCTTCTCCTTCTCCTTCTCCTTCTCCTTCTCCTTCTTCTGTTTATTCTCTCTTACATTACATCCTGACCACAGTTTCCCCTCCCTGAACTCCTCCAAGTCCTACCATCCCACCTCCCTTCAGGCTGGTGAGAAAGGCTACTGCTCTGGGCTCTGGTTCCCCACGATGAGTACTGATACTTGTCTGTACACACAAGAGTGGCTCCAGCCTGCTTATGATGCTGGAGGTTGTCTGCTGTTTCTAGTGTTTAGAGAAATGCTAGCTTATATAGTGTGGCCTCTCCCAGCCTTTGTAACTACCGGTGAGACAGAACAAGGGACTGGAGCAGGCCTCATAAAGAGAATCCCATTTAACCCATTGTTATATACAAGAGTCAAAGATGAGTGGCTAGTCCAGTGTGTGATGGAATGAGGGTAGGGACTGGGAATCTAGTTTGGGATCTCAGCCTTGAAGGAACGTAAAGACCCACAAACAGAAAACCATTTTCCTTTATTTGAATGCTTCAGGAGAATGGGAGAGAATATACAGTAGGGTGGTTATTTTCTTTTCATTTTTCTGTTTGCCTTTGAGAGTAGATGTTTGGGGCCAATGTTAGCATAATAAGACCCCTGTGTCTGAAAACGAAGAGCCAGGTGTATGGTGCACACCCTAATCTCAGTGCTTGGGAGGAAGGAAGGATCTCTGTGTGCTGATGCCAGCTGGTCAGTTACCTGGTGAGACCCTGTCTCAGAAAAAAACAAATCTGCATCAAATCATCAGCTATTTTTATTTCTGAGTCTTCCCTCTCATCTTTCCAGGGGTGTTTTTCCCCACCTGTACACACCCCTCCTCCTTTGTGTCTACTTGTGCATGGAGTTCAGATTCCTCAAAGTGCTAAGGAGGCCAGAAGTTAGAGGAGCAGGAAGCTCCGGAGAGGCCAGGCACGATATTAGGCCTATCTCACCTTTGTTTGTGCTGGGCTCTTTGATGTTAGGTCCCCATCTAGTTTCCTATCTTAGGCATCAGACCACATTGAAGCTAAGGCTAGAGATCCCCCCCACTTCTGACTTGTTTTTGCCCTTGCTGGTCCCCTCACTCTTAAAAATTTTTACTTTTGGGGAGCTGGAGAGATGGCTCAGAGGTTAAGAGCACTGGCTTCTCTTCCAAAAGACCTGAGTTCAATTCCTAACACCTACTTGGCAGCTCATAACTCTCTGTAACTTCATTTCCAGGGGATTTGATATCCCCTTCTGGCATCCATGTCACCAGGCATTTGGTGCACAGACATACATTCAGGCAAAACATCCACACACATGAAAAAAAATTATACTCCTTCCTTCCTTCCTTCCTTCCTTCCTTTTTTTTTTTTTTTTTTCTTTTCTTTTTTCCTTCCTGAGATAGGGTTTCTCTGTGTAAGAATCCTAGCTGTCCTGGAACTTGCTTTGTAGACCAGGCTAGCCTCCGGATCTGACCACCTCTGCCTCTGGAGTGCTGGAGACCAGATCCCCTGGAGCTGGAGTTACAAGAGGTACCACTATGAGTACTGGGTACTGAACTCAGGTCCTTTGCAACAGCAGTAGCTTGTAATCTGAAGCCATCTCTCCATCTCTCCGGCCCCACGTTAATGTTCACTTACATTTTTTTCTGTGTATGTGTCCATACATATGAAGACAGTGTGTGTGTGTGGGGGGGGGTTTCTCCTTCCATGATATGGATCCTGTCAGCCCAGGCAGCAGGGGGCTTTATCCACTGAGCCATCTTGGCAGCCCCTGTATTTACTTCTTACACCACCCACCGTGTGATGCAGATACTATCCCCATCCTGCAGATGAAGACGCTTAGCTTCCATAGCATTGAGTAATTACCTCAGGGAACAGAACTGTGGGACTAAGAAGTCAAGTGGGAATTTCCACTGTGACACAGCAAGCCTCAGAGAAAGTCAGGGCTGAAAAACCAGGGACTTTCTCTAGTCAGAGCCCATCTCTCACTCTGCTCTGCCACTTTTTTTTTTTTTTTTTTCTGGTATTTCCTGCCTCTGAGAATGTGAAGTGACTGGCCACATGTCAGCTATCTCCTGTCCTTGTCAGCCTGCTTAGAGTCCACCCCACTCAGTGTTCCCATTTAACAGCAGAGGAATAAATTCATAGTCACACAGTCTGAGCAAGCAGGAAAAGCTAGGACTCTGTTCTAGGACATTGGAAAGCTCATGCTCTTTTTAGATTTATCTATTTTATTTATGTGTATGAGTATACATTTATGTGTGTGCCTGGTGCCCCCTGGAGGTCAGAAGAGGGGGCTGTTTTTCCCTGTAACTGGAGTTATGAATGGTTGTGAGCTACCATGTGGGTGCTGGGAACTGAACCTGGGACATCTACAAGAGGAAAAAAAACAAAAAGTGTTCCTAACTGATGAACTGTGTCTCTAGCTCCCTGATTCTGTAATTTAATAAGAATTGATCGGGGATATTTTTAGAGGTCATCTATTCTAGTAGAGCCAGGACTCAGGGTGCGAGGGTAAAGGTTGTTAAGAGACTTGCTGAGGGCCAAGAAGGGCAGAATGGCAGAGCAAATGTATCC